ACCACAGATAAGTCCCTTACAAAGATATCTCTGAATCTTTCTACTGCCGAACTTTATAACATGGAATAACTCCAATCTTACAAGGCCGAGTTGCAAAAGGCACTGGCTGAGGTCGAAGCCGATATTGCGTTGCTCTCAGTTGCACCTGGAGAGAATATAAAGGGCAGCAAGCCTCCAGCTGACTTGAACTCTTCGAACGAACTCAGTGGCGGAAAGCTCCAACCTCGACCATCCAAGGCATCTGTCCTCTTTGCTCAAGAAGAGGCCCCTGGCTATTACAAGCTTGACCCAAGATTTCAAGAGGACAAATGGATTCGTCCCAAGCCCCGGGGTTCCTCTTGTTTCTCGAGTGAAATTGTCCAGTGGGCCGCAATACAAATAGAAGACGACCACGACGGAGTAGAATACTCATTACTCACCCTTCGACATCATAAAGCTTCCAAATGTATTGCCGGCGAAGCCTGTGGAACTGGCCACTGGGAGCTCATCTATGATGGAGTTACCACAAGACTGAAGGGTTGCATCGATTTGCAGCTGGTATGCATGCGTACCAAGCATGTGGAGCGAGATATGAGTATCTGTAGGTCCGATGACTTCCATGAGTACAAGGATCGAATTACTATTCTGTCGTGTAAACTATTCAACGCGCTCTTGCCTGACTTCAGCAGTGTCGCAAGAGCAGGCTACCAAATGGTAATTTTTCGACTTGTTGAAAGCTCGGAGGATGAGAGTGTCCTTCCTTCTCTCGCAACATGGATGGACAGCCATGGACGCCTGCTTAGAGATATGGATTATCCTGATTGGGCGTGAAGCACGGCCTGTGCGAATGCCTATCTGGCCACAGACGGGTAGGTACAGGAGCAAACGTAGGGCTAGCGGATCGTGTTGGTAGAAATAATAGGCAGGCAATGCAACTAAAAGAACAAGAACTTCATTCTGGATGTACATAGGCATGGCTAGACGAGTCTTCAAGACGTCCAACTTAAAACTACAAAATAAAACAAACATGTATACAATGATATGTCCGCTGTAAGTGTGTATAGCCATATGGTAACTTAAATTAGATATCTCGCCAGAAGTCGTTGTTATTGCCCTATGAACCGTGAATTATCTCGCCCTGTTTCTTTCTCCTGAGGAAAAGTCAATGGATTTCAAGATGAGTAGCTATTCTGGCCACCATTCCAAAGTCCCTACTTCATTATCGATTTAATTCAAAGGAGAAGCATATCATTCGAGATTTGCCTAGTGGTATTCTGAGAGTAAATTCGTGACTCATTCAATATATATCTACAGCTAAAACCGTATAATGTCCACCTCCTCTCTTACTGAATGGCAGCGCGACAGGCAGCCAACTGGGTCTCGCATTGCCCAACGCCTCCCGAAAGCTGACCAGAGTTGGCAGCATCCGCACAAGCATTGTGCTGAATATCGCAAGATCGACCGAGAGCAACACTCTCTCCATTGAATGTGTTACCGTTGACGGAGAAAGGCTTCTCGGCGTTGGAGGAGATGACGGGGGGAGGTGCTCCGCCAAGTGTACCAGTGAAGGTCTGGACGTTCACACCCTGAGCATTGCTGGCGGCACCGGTAGCCTTGGCACTGGCGCCTGATGTGCGGCTGGGGAGGGGGGTCAAAGTTGCGCTGGCGGCGGTCTTTGACTTGGCTTTGCATCCCTTTCCAGCACCAGCACCAGCCGTCTTTTCAGCAGCTTTACCAGTGTTGGTAGCAGCCGGTGCTTCAGCGGTAGCAGTGGCTTTGGCAGCATCGGTAGCGGATGCGGCACCAGTAGCGGATGCAGCGCCAGAAGCCGCTCCGTTGACGATGGTAGCAAGATCAGCGACCTCGGTGCCAGAGGCGACAGAGAATGAAGCAAGGTCAACCAGGTCAGTGGCAAAGATGCCGCCTGTTCCGGTAAAGGTTGGTGTAACATCGGCAACGGCGGAAGAGATCTCATCCTCTGTCGCGTCCAGAACTAGAAGGCCCTGGGAGAAGATGCAGCCAAGATCGGGTTCTTCCTCGTCACAAGAGTTACCCTTTCCAGTGGTATCGCTGGTCTATAATCTGTCAGCAGGTTCACTGTACAACTTACGATATGTACTTACATCTCCAGGCGCGAAAGTACCACTCAGCAGAGCCAAGTTAGGGTCAGCACCAATACCGGCCAGCTGCTTCGCCAGCTCCAGAGTAACAGCCTTGTTGATAGCACCGGCACCAGTAGAAGCGGCATCTTGATGCTGTGTAAGAGCTCCAATCTCGGGGTTGACGGCTGCTTCATCGCACAGCTTGCTGGCAACACCAACACCAGCAGTGTTGCGCTCAATGGCCTGGAAGAGCAGTGCACCAGCCATACCGCGAAGATCGCCAATCGCCTTGGCGTTGGTGAAAGCTTGATCAGCAGTCTCCTGCTTCAGACAAGCGAGGTTCGTGACGCTTCCTGCACCCTCCTTTGCAGCGGCATCACCCAAGAGACCAAAGACGGGGTCCTGAATCTCCTTGGGGTTGTTGAGCCTGAGCATCTCGCCAGTGATGGTCAAGACAAAGTCGTGGGAGTGTTCCTGGGGAACCTGCCGCTTCTTGATGGATCGAGAGACATGTCGACCAGGAGCAGGGGCGCGAAAGACAGGCGTCGCAGTGGCCAAACCGGCCGAAAGAGTGAGAATGGCGGCAGAGAACTTCATCGTGATAGAGAGAGTAGTATGCAATTAGAAATAGCAAAAATGGTAATGAATGACTGTTCCTGCAGCCTGGTAAAGGAATGATAAGTAGAAGAGAAGACAAAAAGCTCACAGAGCGTGGAAACAATAAACAGAGATGAGATTGGATGAAAGCTGGATGAACAAGCACAGACATGAGGGTATCATCGCGCACTTTATACTTTGCAATCGTTTTAATGGCATTCTCAAAAGTCAATCTCTCGCCGTTTTTCCAAACAGATCCCAATACGAAAACGTTCATGCCATTCACCCCTTGGGCGCTTTTAGAAACAGGAAGCAGCTTGATCCGAGAATCCAAACCCGATCTGACAGACGAGACAGATGAGACAGTCTAGCGGCCCGTATAACCGATGAGGTTTTGGCGGCTCGTAATAGTTCGCGGTGATATTGCTGGTGTGGAAGCGAATGGGATGTGAAACAGGGACTGTCAAGATCTGAGACGTCAATGTCAAACGATTGAGTTTGGCAATGTATGGCAGGGATGCAGGGGTTTGAGGTGCGTTACAGATGCGTCATCACGTCAGAACCAGCCTGGTGGGTCTAGGCGAAAAGTGGAAACACTTTCGTCTCCAGTTGAGTCTGGAAACGTTATGGAAACGCGTCCTATTTCAAGGCATTAGGGTCACCGCGCGTCTGGAATCGGCGTGAAGTGAACGCCAGGAGGCGTTTTCGCGACTGTTTATCTTATCTTGTCTTATCTTATCGCATGGGCTGACCTGATTCTATAAATAGCAATAAATTAGACACTTCATTATATTTATAATATTTTATTATAAAGGATAACAGTATATTTCTTAATCTAGATGAAGAAATTAAATAATATTAGAAATATTTTAAGCCCTAAATACTTTATCTTAAATGCAGTGCTTCTTATTGAGTACTGCCTAATTCTTAACTCATTGTCTCTAGGGTAGTGCGCAAACCGCACAATGAATACAATCAGCAAGGTAAACGAATTGTCTAATTTAATAGACAAATGACTTTAAAGAGGTTAAGAAGACCTATTGCTTAGGGGTTCTTCAAGACATGTTGGCGAGAGATTGTGACAATGAAATGCTCGACGATGAGAAGCACCAGTATCGCTAGGCCAGAAAAAGCCTGCATAAGTCCCACCCAGCTCCAGCTGAGCCTAACTAGAAAGCCACACGCATCATAATGGCTTTCTGCATTATTAAAGAAAATACTATTAGTTGTCAGTGGATAGATCAATGTACCAAAGAGAGATTACCTATAGTGGTGACCAAAATGATGAAGGATAAGGGAAAAGCCTGGGGAATATGAGAGAAGAGAAAAGAGAAAAGAGAAAAGAGAAAAGGGGGAAGATGGAGGTCAGACTCTGGAATGGTTTTTCTTTACTAGGATGACTGATAATTACTTGGTAGAGTATATCGATCCTAGAATTGTGACTTTATAAAGCCTCTTCTTTGCTAACTTGAACCTTCTATACATTATCTTGTTCAACTTGATGTTTGACCTCTGTACAATCAGATCATTTATCCCTGTCACCCCCGGCATTTGAACAACGCCCAGCAATGATCCGCAATAAATGCAACATCAATCAGCCGAGACACGTTCATATCTACCCCGCAAGGTGTCAAAAATCGCGCTTCGACAAGAACCAACTAGTTTCTTGCGCAACCATAACGCCAAGTCGTACACCATGAGTGACAAAGCCTCCTCCCCGAAGAAGTCACCAAAGTCTCCTTCATCAGGAGCAAGTGAGGTTGTGCTGCATGACGCTGGACACTGGGCTGCTCTGGCACAGGTATGTTTGTGAAGAGTCAAAAAGGGCTGGGACCGACGCGTTTTTTTTAGGATGAGCAGGATGAAGATGCCGACTCTTCACTGGGTGTCGATACAGAGTCGTCGACAGCTTCGATGACATCGAGTATTCTAAACTATAGAACTATCAAGGGACGAACTTATCATTCCGAGAGAGGAAATGCAGAATATTGGTGAGTAATGTATGGAAGGCTGCTTACTGCATAGAGCTAATGCGTGACGTGCAGGGCCTCAAATGATGCTCAGCAGAATGAGGCGATGGATATTATGTAAGAGTTACGGTGCTTGTTCAGATAGGCACTGACGCGTTTCAGCCACCATTTTTTGGTTCTCACATTAGACGGAAAACTTCACTTGGCACCGTTGAAGGACGATATCAAAGTAAGTGTTGTGTTGCCGTAAATCTTTACATTTCTGACGCTTTTAAGTCTGTCCTAGATGTAGGCACTGGAACAGGTATGAAATCGCTACTTTTAAACCAAAGATATGCTTATATGGTTGGTGAACAGGAATCTGGGCAATGTAGGTGTGCTGCTTGACGGGTGATATCTTTGACTGACTGTCTAGTGATTTTGCCGATGAGCATCCCCAAGCCGAAGTGATCGGGACCGACATATCTCCCATCCAACCAAGCTGGGTCCCTCCAAACGTCAAGTTGTAAGTTTCCAACTGTCATACTGTCTTTACAGAAACTCCATGAGCCATCGTCTGACAAAAGCAGTGAGATCGAAGACTGCACTCAACCATGGACCTTCTCTCCCAACTCATTCGACTTTATCTACATGCGATACCTCTACGGTTCCATCAGTGACTGGTCAGCTCTATTCCAAGAGGCCTTTAGATCGTGTAAGCCAGGGGGTTGGGTTGAGAGCTTTGAAGCGTCGGCTATGCTTGAGAGTGATGATGATACTGTCAAGGAGAGTAGCGCGATGAGTGAATGGGGCAAGTTCTTTATCGAAGGTGGAAAGAGACTTGGTAGAACTTTCACCATTCTTGATGATGACTTGCAGAAGAAGGGGATGGAAGACGCAGGGTTTACGGATATTCAGATTCGGAACTTCAAGGCAAGTAATTCTCCACGACTATCCAGTTCAGTATGCTCTGGGATTATGACTAATTGAACCTACAGCTTCCCATCGGTAGCTGGCCCAAAGATCCCAAGATGCAAGAGATTGGAAATTTTGCGTTTGCTGCTATGGATCAAGATCTGGAGGGCTTTGTCTTATACATGGCGAGTGTTGTGTTGGGTTGGTCGCAGGATGAAGTCACGGTTTATTGCTCGCAGCTTCGAAGGGAGTTGAGATCCGGCAAATATCATCCCTACTGTCGGCTGAGGCTTGTGTATGGGAGGAAGCCGGAATAAGAACACTTGTGTATATACTGCATTCAGTTGGGAGCATTTGTGGTGGTTCGTATGAGAGGCAGTGGACTTTTTGATGCCTGGATGTCGGAACACGATGGCGAGGCAAGGCTGGATTAATTACAGTTCGTGGTCTAAGTCATTCATGCATTACACGTCGCACGAGTTGTCGATATTATTTCGCGCTCACAGCTTCATCTCAGTCGCCGATTTATCACGGTCAATTTGATAGCCTTTAACATGGCTCCATTCATTTAGATTAATTTACAGCGAGAATAAGCTAATTAGTAAAGGTAGCGACCCTGTTAACGTTAAGCGCGTTTTAGCACTGAACGTGCTATACTGTAGAGGCGATGCAAGTCGAACGCGTCACATCTCGCAACACATCTATCTGCAGTCCCATCCAGTACCAACGAGCACTCACAAGACAGCCAAGCCGCACACACGCTGCTTCTGCTACGACTCTCGCCTGACACCAAGACAGCCAGTCATACATCAATAGTCTTGACGATGATCTAGACGCGCACCACGTATAAGTGTAGGAGGACGAACCCCCAGTCCAACTGCGACGCAGAATAATCATTGATGGCGACCAGAAAGAGCACTATACTCCCCTTGAGAAAATCCCCAAACGTTTCCTGGATAGCTCTGTTCAGAGCATGGACCTTGGTGAAATTGCAACGGCTGGCGATGCCGAACAAGATTTAACTTGAGAATCATGTCGCCACATCGGCCCACTGAGGGTAACTGTTTTAATTGAAGCCTCGCTGACGGAAATGCGTGACGGCCTCTAACTTTGTATCTCACATTTCAAGTTTTATTCATGAAAACCTTGTCAATACCGCAGCGAAGCATATCTGAGCAACGCATCAAACACAACACCTTGTCGTTCTTACACTTTCAGGAAGTATAAGAACTTGCTTGCGTTATGAAGCATCTGATATTTAAGCTTTACCTGGCTATAAATATCGCTCGCATCACTCACAATTTCCTCTTATTTCTTCTCCCCTTTCCCAAGAACTATCCCAGCCCTTAGCACAAACCATCATTCACAGTCAGCTGCAGCTTCTATCAAACGCAAAAATCTTGCAGCCTGCGAAACAGAACCACATAATCTATTTACGAAAGAGCAGTTATCCTACCTCTACCCTATCATAACTTTCAACAACTCTATTCCTGCCATCAGCCATGGCACGCCCAGCTATATTCTCATTATAGGTGACGGAGTCCTTGCAGCATGGAACCTGGCGTTAGGAGGGTTTTTATGGGCAATGATAATATCTGTCGTCACTTTCTTAGTCAACATCGTCGCTGCTTTGATCCTGGGCTTAACATCGGGTATGCTAGACCTGTCTGGAAATAGTCTGCCTTCTTTGAGCATCGTCATACTACTGGAAGTCTCTGAAAAGGCAGTCTGTTCCACCTGCAAAAGAAATTGGTCCACCATTCTTAAGCCCCTCAAAGATTGGACTCGAGGAGACAGTGAAAGACTTCTCGAGGACCAAGAAGACTTTGAGGAACAATTAAACGATCAACACAGTCTTCACTTAGACCAGGCTGCCGAGATTGCAGACTTGGCTGCGGTACCGCGAGCTATCGTTCGCGACAGAGTCAAATGCTACAGGACGATTCTGAAGATACAGAGAAGAATCACCAAGATCAGACTGCGAAAGTTGCTTTACTTCCGAGCTGCGGCATACTTCGAGGTGCTTGAGGAGAGAAAAAGGGGCCAGCGGACTAGGTCGCGGGATTTATGGCTCGCTGTTTGCCTTAATGCTTATTGCATCAGCCTCTGGATCTTCGACATGGTTTTCTCTTCTAT